GCCCGAGGGCCTCCGGGGGGGCCCCCCCGGAGGGGGGGCCCCCGGGGGGGCCCCCGGGGGCCCCCCCGAGGCCCCCACTCGCGTGGACCTTTATTTCTTTCCAGGGTTTAGTCGGAGACGAAAAGAGTTTTCTTTAAATGAGTCTTTGTGGGGTATAAAACAGCAAATAGAAAAAGAACTGAAGTACCCTGCCCTTGTTGTGGCAGTGGTCCCTCTTCAAACCCCTCCTAGGGGGGCCCCCCCGGGGGGCCCCCCCGGGGGCCCCCCCGGGGCCCTCCCGGGGGGCCCCCCTGGGGGGCCCCCTAAGGGGCCCCCTGCGGGCCCCCCTGCGGGTCCCCCTGGGGCGCTCCCTGGGGGTCCCCCTAAGGGGCTCTCTGGGGGCCCCCCGGGGGTCCCTCCAAGTGGGGCCCCTGGGGGCCCCCCGGGGGGCCCCCAGGACCCCGAAGGGGCCCCCCAGGGGGCCCCCCAAGGGGCCCCCAAGAGGGGCCCCCTGCCCTGGAGCACAACCCTGAGGGCCCTTGGCTTTGCTGCTGGGGGCCTCGGGGCCCTCGAGGTGTACCTCTACAGGAGCTGCAGGGCCACTCCAGCGGGGCCCCCCACGGGGGCCCCCTGGGGGGCCCCCCGGGAGGGCCCCCAGGGGGCCCCCGGGGGGGCCCCCCTGCCTTCTTTGAAGTCCTTGGGAATGCCAGAATGCCTCACTGATGCTACTGCAGGTGGGTATTTGTTTGTTGGGTTATTTTTAATTTTAATTTGGGATTTAGTTTTAAATAAATGCCATTTTTGTTTATTTTTGTTTATTTTTGATTACTTTTTCAATTAAAAAGATGCCAGTTGTAATTAAATGGTTCTTTTTCTTTTTTGATTCAAAAAAGAAATAAATGAAAGACAAAAGTCTTTGTGCAAATTAAAATTGCCATTAATAATATTCACCATTTGCTTTTTTATTAATTAAAAACACAAATAAATAAATAAATAAATAAATAAATAAATAAATAAATAAATAAATAAATAAATGAATAAATAAATAAATAAATAAATAAATAAATAAATAAATAAATAAATACTAATTATGTTAGTTAATTAAATTAATTAAATTAATTTCTCTGCTTCGGTTTGCCCTGGATCGCTGCTGTTGCTGCTGCTGCTGCTGTCTGCTGCTGCTGCAAAGGAAAATAAAAAGTTTTTATTTTTATTTAATTGCAGATTAAATTAATTTGCTGCTAAATGCTTCCCTTAGTTCAATGCAGAACGCTTGACTGCTTTTGTTGCTGCTGCTTTTGCTGCTGCTGCTGCTGCTGCTGCTGCTGCTGCTGCTGCGGTCTTTCTTCTTCTACTGCTGCTGTTTCTGCTTTTATTCTCTTTCTTCTCCTTCTGCTGCTGCTCCTCCTCCTCCTCCTCTTTCTCCTTCTGCTGCTGCTCCTTCCCCTACTGCTGCTGCTGTTGCTGTTGCTGCTGCTGCTGCTGCTGCTGCTGCTGCTGCTGCAGGTCGCGCGCTGCTGGCTGGCCGGCGGCGCAGCAGCAGCAGCCAGACGACGCAGACAGCCTCCGTGTCTTCGCAGCCGCAGCGGGAAGCTTCTTGCTGCAGTCCGCAGCAGGGAGTTTTCTTTTCTGCTGCTGCTGACAAGCTAGCAGCAGCAAAAGAATACTTATCTGCTGCTGAGTGGCAGCAGCAGCGGGAAGCAAAGGCAGTGGTGATTCAGAAGCACGCGCGGGCGTGGCTGGCGCGCCGCAGCACGAAGCAGAAGCGGCAGCAGCGGCAGCAGCAGCAGCAGCAGCAGCAGCAGCAGCAGCAGCGCAAACTCTGGGAAGCAAACATCCGCAAAAAGAGGCAGCAGCAAAGACAGGGACACCCACTAACTGCAGCAGACTTTGCTGTTCTTTTTGCTGAAGTGGAGGCCTGGAGGCGAATAGAAGCAGACAAGATCCGGGCCAAGGCGCAGCAGCAGCAGCAGCAGCAGCAGCAGCAGCAGCAGCAGAAGGGCTCGGGGCGGGAGCAGCAGCGGGAGCAGCAGCAGCGGCGGCGGGAGCGGGAGCAGCGCGAGGCGCTGCTGCTGCTGCTGCAGCAGGAGACGCAGCTGCTGCAGCGGATCGGGAGCCTGCAGCAGCAGGCGCGGCAGCAGCAGCAGCAGCAGCAGCGGGAGCTGCTGCTGCTCAAGATGAGCGAGCCGCTGCTGTGGGTACAGTCCAATGGGGAAACCGCAACTGTATATACACCTGAAACTATGAAAGCTAAACAACTAGCAGATCTTTACAGAAGTTTGTCGGGGGGCCCCCTGGAGGGGCCCCCGCGGCAGCAAGTGCTGGCTGCTGCTGCTGCTGCTGTGGGGCCCCACAGGGGGCCCCCCGCGGAGGAGCTGCTGGAGCTGCTGCAGCGCGAGCAGCAGCTGCTGCAGCGCGGCCGCAGCAACCGGCTGCTGCTCTCGGGGCTCCGCCAAAGAATCAGTTCTTTGTTTTTGCTGCTGCTGCTGCAGCCAGCTTTCAACCCCCGAGCTGCTGCTGTTACTCGCTTTGCCTATTTGAGTTAATTCCATTTATTTATTTCAAACTTCCACTTTGCTGCTGCTCCCAACAAAGCCCCAAACTTGCATGCAGCAGCAGCCTGCATGCGCTCTTGCATGCGCTGTTTGCTGCAGCAGCAGCGTGCATGCGTTGTTTGCTGCAGCAGCAGCCTGCATGCGCTCTTGCATGCGCTGTTTGCTGCAGCAGCAGCGTGCATATGTTGTTTGCTGCAGCAGCAGCGTGCATATGTTGTTTGCTGCAACAGCAGCGTGCATATGTTGTTTGCTGCAGCAGCAGCTTGCATGCGTTGTTTGCTGCAGCAGCAGCGTGCATGCGTTGTTTGCTGCAGCAGCAGCTGCGCATGCAGCAGCAAACCCCACACTTCATAAAATTAATCTTTTCCACTTTTCACATTTAAAAACTCTCAAGTCCTTTTGCTGCTGCTGGCCCCACACTTTGAGCAGCAGCAGCTTCAAAGCCATTTTGCAGCTTTTAATTTAATCAAATTAATAAAAAAAAAACAAATAAATCCACTTTGCCAAATGCGCAAGCTTTTATTCCATGTTCCCCATGGGGGGCCCCCAAGGGGCCCCCAGGGGGCCCCCAAGGGGCCCCCAAGGGGCCCCCAAGGGGCCCCCAGGGGGCCCCCAAGGGGCCCCCAGGGGGCGCTCAAGGGGACCCCAGGAGGCCCCCAAGGTGCCCCCAAGGGGCACTCGAGGGGCCCCCAGGGGGCACCCGAGGGGCCCCCATGGGGCCCCCAAGGGGATCAAAAGGGGCACCCGAGGGGCCCCCAAGGGAAACCTGAGGGGCCCCCAAGGGGCACCTGAGGGGCCCCCAAGGGGTCCCCAAGGGGCCCCCAAAGGGCCCCCAAGGGGCCCCAAGGGGCCCCCAAGGGGCACCTGAGGGGCCCCCAAGGGGCCCCGGGGGCCTCTGGGGGCCCCCTGAAGCCTTCGGGGGCCCCTGGTGAAGCCCCAGAGGCAGCGAAGGCCCCAACTGCTGAACTCTGGAAGAAATTAAATTAAAAGAAAATAAAAAGATTCACAAAAGACAAACTTGAGGGTACTGAACCCTTTTGGGGCTTCAGAGGGGCCCCCGGGGGCCCCTGGGGGCCCCCCTGAACCCTCTGGGGGCCCCCCTAGGTGCCCCATTTTGCCGCACTGCGGCCTGAGGGGCCCCTAGTACCCTTGGGGGCCCCCAGGCTGCCTTGGGGGCCCCCCTCTTTGCCTCGGGGGCCCCCCTCTTTGCCTTTGGGGCCCCTCAGTCTTTCTTGGGGGCCCCCCTGTTTACCTTAGGGGCCCCCATGTACCTTGGGGGCCCCCTCTTTACCTTGAGGGCCCCCCAGTACCCCTTGGGGGCCCCCACTTTACCTTGGGGGCCCCCCAATTTACCTTGGGGGCCCCCATTATGAATAATTGTTTGGAGACCCTCTTAGGGCCCTTGGGGGCCCCCTATTACCTCGGGGGGCCCCCCTTTTGTCTCAGGGGCCCCCCATTTGCCCCAGGGGGCCCCCCTTTACCTCGGGGGGCCCCCCTTTCCCTCGGGGGCCCCCATTTGCCCCGGGGGGCCCCCATTTGCCCCAGGGGGCCCCCCATTTTCCTCGGGGGGCCCTCCTTTACCTCGGGGGGCCCCCGGGGGCCCCCCATTTGCCTGAGGGGGCCCCCCGGGGGCCCCCGAGGTAAAGGGGGGCCCCCGGGGGGCCCCCACTTGTGGAGTTACTTGGGAACTGGAATGGACCTGATGGATTCATCCCACTCTTGGAAAAGTGCTGCAGAGTGGATCTGAGTTGAAGAGAAAAGCAGCAAATTGGAAAAAGGAAATTAAAAATAATTAAAAATAAAAATAAAATAATTGCATGCAAAATGGACAAAAGGCATTTAAGGAAGGCTCTGGGACTTCGGGGAAAAGAAAGAAAAGAAAAGTGCAAAAAGAAAAATCAAAAAAGCAAAAAAAGCAAAAGAAACACACGCAGCAGCAGCAGCAGCAGCAGCAGCAGCAGCAGCGGCAGCAAAGGCCCACAGTCTGCAGCCTGGCAGCAGCAGAAGCAGCAGCAGCAGAGGCCCGCAGTCTGCAGCCCCGCAGCAGCAGCAGTAGCAGCAGCAGCAGCAGTAGCAGCAGTAGCAGCAGTAGCAGTAGCAGCAGCAGTAGTAGCAGCAGTAGCAGCAGCAGCAGTAGCAGCAGCAGCAGTAGCAGCAGCAACAGAAGCAAAAGGCCCACATTCTGCAGCCTGGCAGCAGCAGCAGCAGGGTTGCTGCTGCAGTCCTGCAGCAGCAGCAAAGAGTAAAGAGACTGCAGCAGCCGCGCCTTATAGTGGTGCAGCAAATGCCACGAATAGGCCTGGCGGCCGCACTTGGGCCCTGCAGCGCAGCAGCAGCAGCAGCAGCAGCAGCAGCAGCAGCAACTAAAACTCAATTTTGCACTTTTAAAATTAAAAGTTGTTTTAAATTCAAACTTCAAACCAAAAGTTGTTCCAGGTTTAAAGACAATTCGACCCCACTTAACGCGGCGCAAAACGGGCTCCAAACGCCCCCGCAAACCCCAAATTAGGGTTTAGGGTTTAGGGTTTAGGGTTTAGGGTTTGGCCCACCCACGGGAAACTCCCGCCCCAGCCTCTTCTCGTAAGACTCCACAAACCCTCGGGGCCCCTCCTTTGGGGGAAGCTGTGGGGCCCCTTGAGCTGCAGTATAAAGATAAAAATAAATAAAATTAAATAAAATTAAATTAAAAATAAAAATAAATAAAAGTGAAAAAAGAAATAATTATTTAATTTGAAATGAAATAAAGGGATTAAATGGTCGTGATGAATAACAATTAAAAAAGAAATTAAAATAAACCCTTTTTGCTTTTTGGATTTTAATTTCTTTTTGGATTTTTAATTTTCAAGAAGTGAACAATTCACTAAAAATGAATTTTAAATAAATAAAGAATAAACAAATAAATAATAAATTAATAAATAAATAAATAAATAAATAAATAAATAAATAAATAAATGGAATACAAATAAATAAAAAGAAATGAATAAATAAATAAACAAACAAACAACAAAATAATGAGATAATAATGAAACGGAAAACAAATAAAATAAAAAACAAATTATAAATAAAAAAAAATGAACAAAAAAATGAATAAACAAATAACAGACAAATAAACAAATAAACACAATTAAAAATAAATAATAAAAATGAATAAATAAATAAACAATTAAATAAATAAATAAACAAATAAATAAATAAAAATAAAAATAAAATAAAAATAAAAATAATAAATAAAAATGTTTCCTACAGAGCCACTGGCGTCCTTGTGAAGAAAGCCAAGAAGAACAATCGCCCCGCCAAAGGGCATCTGAGACACAAGCACACTTTGCTGCTGCTGCTGCTGCTGCTGCTGCTGCTGCTGCTGTTGCTGCTGCTGCTGCTGCTGCTGCTGCTGCTGGCTTGTTTTGGCTTCTTTCTCTGCTGCTGGCGAGCAGCTGGAAGCTGCTCGTGCTGCTAAAAGAGCAGAAAGATGAAATGCGCTAGGCCACAAACCCCAAACCCTAAACCCTAAACCCTAAACCCTAAACCCTAAACCCTCGAGGCCCACCTGAGTCGTACTCCGCGCCCTTGAGGTCCAAACAATGATGGCGAGTGGCGCTTCGCCGGCACACAAAGCACCGCGTTGTCCTGAGCACAAACCCTAAACCCTAAACCCTAAACCCTAAACCCTAAACCCTAAACCCTAAACCCTAGCTTCTGCAGCTCTTTTAGCTGCTGCTGCGGCTCAAACCCTAGCCCTTTGGCCTCCGCAAAAGCCAAAGAAAAGAACTGCCTTTGAGGGGCCCCTCAAAACCCCAATATATGCCTTTTGGATTTCTTAACTCAAAGGGCCCCCAAGGGGCCCTTGGGGGCCCCTCGGGGGCCCCTTGGGGGCCCCTTGGGGGCCCCTTGGGGGCCCCTCAGAGGGCCCTTTAGGGGCCCCTCAGGGGGCCCCCTAAAGACCACTTTAAGAAGGCCAAAGGGCCCCCTGGGGGCCCCTGGGGGCCCCAGGGGGCCCCGGGGGGCCCCCTAGAGTACCTGTAGGGGCCCTTAAAGGTCTTATTGGTGTCTCGTGCTGAGGGTTTGCGTAAACCCTAAATTAGGGTTTGAGGGCCTACATGTCGAGGAACTCTGGCGCTTCTGACAGAGTGCAGAAGGGAAAGGCCTTTAGCTGCTGGAGGCACTCGGGGGGGAAAGTGTGGGTCTCCATCTGCAGCAAAGTTGCTGCCAAACCCTAAACCCTAAACCCTAAACCCTAAACCCTAAACCCTAATCGTTAAACCTGGGCCGCCAGCCCGGCATTCGAAACCCCAGATCATTCTGCAGCAGCACTGCTTCCTACAGGCTAAACCCTAGGCCCCAAACCCGAAGTTTTCAGCCACAAACCCTAAACCCTCAGCTCCAAACCCTAAACCCTAAACCCTAAACCTCAAAACACGGAAAAGCTCACTGAATTTCGTTTCGCAAGCGTTATGGTTTCGATTCTTCCTGTGGCCTGCAGGGAGCAGCAGCGAAAGAAAGCCAGAGAGCTGCTTAGGGTTTAGGGTTTAGGGTTTGGGGTTTAGGGTTTAGGGTTTGGGGTTTAGGGTTTAGGGTTTGGGAGGTGAGCGCCAGCCTCACCGCCACCAACTTGGGCACATCCAACTCGCCCAGCGCTTCCGCCGCTGCAGCACAAACACAAAAGCTGCTGCTGCCCCTTCTGCCGCTGCAGCAGCAGCAGCAGCAGCAGCAGCAGCAGCAGCAGCAGCAGCAAAGCCCACACACCTTCTGCTGATAAAGAGGCTTCTGCTGCTGAAGAGTCCTGCTGCAGCTGCTGCAGACTCAAATGGGGAGAAAATAAACTGAGGGCCAAAGCGAAGACGTAAAGTTCAAAACACTCCCTGAGGCTTAGGGTTTGCTGCAGACAACACCAAACCCTAAACCCTAAACCCTAAACCCTAAACCCTAAACCCTGACGGAGAAACGAGAGTTCGACGCAGCAGCAGCGCAG